GTTGTCTAATTGAAAATGAATTGATAAAGAATTCTATATTTTATAAAAGCTTTATTGCAATTATCCGAATAAACAACTTCTTCTATATGTTGTGTGGTTAAATCTTCTGTAACAAATGCCTTCTCGGAACTTTTCGAAGGTTCCGTCTCATGATCATCAGTCAATCGATTATTTCTTTTTCGAAGACCGTTTCTACCCATGTCTGATTATAAACAAGTATTTGTAAGACATCAATATATTTCGTATAATAAGTATAAAAGCAAATGGTAGTTCTCTAAGATTAAGTAGAAGCTCAAGGCCTACTTATCAAGGGAACCCCTTCACAAATGCTCTCCGTGTAGAATCAAACCACATTGGCTCCAAGTGCAGAATATTTTAGTACTTCTTTTGTGGTGCCCATTCCACAGCGTAACCTTTTTTTCAATCATTTTCAGTAATGGAACCGGTCGAACCCACAAAAAAGGCTGCTTACTATTCACTAAGTCCCAAACTATTTCCACATCAGTAATTGAAGCAAGATGTATAACTATTTATAATTAAGTAGAAATTCAATATGCAGTTTTATCAAACTATAATTTTTAATATTAAAAATAAACTGAATGAAACAACTAAATTAGTATAATGATCATAAGTTTTTCTTAAAATAAAGATAACCATAGCGCAAACGGCACTAGTACTCATGTAATATTTCTCTAACATTAATAATAATATTCCCTTCCACACACACACACAAAAAAAAAATATTAAATTCTCAACATAAAATGAAACTAGAATATTTTATTTTGTAAGACACTCAAATCTTGTAATTCATCCATAAAAACAAAAGAGTTAGTGGATAATAGTTAATCAAAGTTAAAGGAAAAGAGGCGTACCTTTGATGCAGGGGAAGAGACGTACCTTTGCTCCCCAAATCTTGAGACTTTTAGTATTTTAGGGTTTTTGCCTCTTTTAGTTTATGTTTTGGCTCTAATAGGAAAAGAACACTGTGATTTAGGCACAAAAACATTAGAGGGAAATAATTTGGAGGGAACTTGTTTCTTTTGGTAACTCATATTTTATTTTTCAAATTGTGAATTTATGTTTCCCTCCTCGTAAAAATCAGTCCAAAAGAAGTTAGATAATAATATTATTAATATAAACACATTGTTATTCCATATAATCTAATTATATTTATATGTTATATAATTTATTAATATAATTATATTTTATTAACATAACTATTCTTGAAGCGCTTGATCAGGATAAAGCTTGAGTGATAATGTGATGACCCAAAATATTATCTTTAAATTTAATAAGTAATTTTGTGTTCTAAGACTTCAAAAAATACCATTTATCATTTCTCGACTTACGTGCATAGTCCGAAAAAAATTTTCCGGATAGTTCTCATCTGAAAAATAGATTAAAATGTGAAATAGAACTTTAAAACTCAACTGAGTTGACTTTGGTCAATATTTTTAGCAAACAGACCCGGATCAGTGTTTTGATAATTTCGGTAGGTCCGTATCATGATTTGGGACTTGGGCGTATGCCCGGAATCAAATTCCGAGGTCCCTAGCCCGAGATATGGAATTTTGATGAAAAATTAAAAGCTTGAAAGCTTAATGATTTTTAAGAAATTACTGATGTTGGATTTATTGACCTCGGGTCCGTATTTTGGTTCAGGAGCCCGGTATATGTCCACTATAATATTTATGACTTGTCTGCCGAATTTGGTGAGAATCGGAGTTGAAATTTTCCTTTGATTTGGTGTCCGATTCGTAGTTCTAGGTGTTATTTTGGCGATTTGATCGCGCGAGCAAGTTAGTATGATGTTTTAGGACTTGTGTACATGTTTGGTTTGGAACCCTGAGGGCTCAGGTGAGTTTCGGATAGGCTACGGGATGATTTTGAACTAAGAAAATCTGGTTTTTGAGCTTCTGTTGTCATCTCGTGCATTGTGCTCCGCGATCGCCAAGCCATTCCTGCGATCGCGAAGAGTAAATTGTAAGTAGTGAGTTTTACCCTTCGCGTTTGCGAAGATAGGCACGCGATCGCGGAAGGTAAACTCCCAGTGCACTGCGAACGCAAGGGACCAGATGCGATCATGTGGAAGGAAGGAAGGCAAGAGCTAGGCATGTCAATTGTGCCCCGCGATCACATGAGCATTTACGCGATCGCGTAAGGCTGGAAAAATATACTCCGCGATCGCGTAAAGTTAAAAGTCTGGGCAGCCAAAATGTGTTTCGCGATCGCGAAGCCATTCCCGCGATCGCGAAGAGTAAAATGAACCTGGGCAAAAGTTGTTCTACGCGATCGCAAACGAATTTCCGCGATCGCGATGAGTAAAAATTCCAGAAACAGAACTTAAGTTTTGGAAATGGGGTTTCGACCCATTTTTAAATCTTTTTATTTTTGAGCTCGGGTAAGGCAATTCTTGGGCAATTTTTACGGAAAAATATTGTGGTAAGTGATCTTTATCCTATATTGATTATATTTTATGATTTCATACTCATTTATATCATGAATCCGTGAATTTATGAAAGAAAAATCAGATTTTTATAAATTCTTCCAAAAACGAAAAATTAAGATTTGAAGGTCCATTTGATATCGGAATTGGACAATTTTTGTATGGTTGAACTCGTATCGGAACGGGTGTTCGGATTTCACGAGTTTTTCAGGATTTGAGACTTGGGTCCCACTGTCGAATATTTTAATAAATTTCAGATGTTTATCCGAAAAATTTGTAAATTCATATGGAATTAATTCCTATGATTAGTATTGAATATATCAAATTGTTTGTGAATAGATTTGAAACTTTTGGAGACAAAATTAAAAGAAAAAGTTGTGGTTGAATAATTGATTGGAATTTGCAAAGCGAGGTAAGTGTCGTGGTTAACCTTGACTTGAGGGAATAGAACTCTTAAATTATTTGTTATGTGAAAAGCATGTGAACGATGTATAGGCGAGGTGACGAGTGTTTATACGTCGTGAAATTAATTGTTTGCATGCTTACTTGAAAAATCATAAATTAATTATTATAATAATTATTTCTCTCATATTCTTTGTCAAATATTAATTCTTGAATTTCTGCATTAATTGTTACATGCTATTTTTATTTAGACACCGTTATTTTTATAAATTATTTCACTATATTTCAAACTTTGCTTCCGCTTTTATTTTCTTGATTATTAATAATTTAAAAGTTGTTTACAAATTGGTTAATATTATTCTAACGTTGGCTTGCCTAGCAAGTGAAATGTTAGACGCCATCATGGTCCGAAGAAGGGAATTTCGAGTCGAGAAAGATATTTAGTGAAGTTTTATTAAAATTTGGTAGATTAGTTAATCAATTTTAATTAGAAATGATCACCCTATTTATTTTAGTTATATGTGAAATTTACTAGTAAGCTATTAAGCTCCTGCGAAATTAAGCCGAATAGAATGATGAACACCTCTAATTACGCTAAAAGGTATTATTTTTATATATAAAAAAAAGAAGGTCCGAGTAAAATAACTATTCTCGGAGCATTTGTCAGGATAAATCTTGAGTGATACTTAGAGAAGTTTTATTTAAATTTGATATAGGAGTTAATAAATATTAACTAGAGATGATCATATGGTGTATAACCTATCAAATTAAATAACATTGAGTCTAGTTTCCAACGCATCAAGCCGTTCGTCATTTGGATATGTATACAGAAAGTTATGGCCATTTTACTGGACCTATGTCATATGCGCGTCCAGATGTGCGGCCGTGCATATTTGGGAGTTTCTGCCTTGTGTGTGTGGCCGGATGCACGGCCACTTGCCCAGGTGCGCGATCGCGCACGTAGGAGCTCATTTAATACCCCAAGGCCGGGTAGATAGAGGGGTTAAATTATTTTTGAGCTAAAACCTAATATTTTTATAGAGAAGTGAGAGTGTTCTAGAGAGAGAGGAAGAAACTCAAGTGTCTTGTTCATCAAATCTTGCTCAAGCCTTGAAATCCAACAAGAAATCTCTCAAGTTCTTCATCTAAGAGGTAAGGTTTCATACCCTAGTTTTTCAATTTTGGATTTGGGTAGAAGATGGTTGATTATGAGTATGATTCTTGGGTGTAAGAGTATTAATTATATGTTGTTGTATCAATAAGGTTTGTGGAAAACTTTATGAGTTCAAATGGTTAAAGATTTGGTTGAAAATGGTAGAAATCTTCAAAGATTTTAATTGAAGATTTGAGGGTCGAGTTGATGTCGAATTTTGGTGAAATTTGTATGATTGGACTCGTGGTGGGATGGGCGTTCATATTTTGTAACTTTGTCGGGTTCCAAGACGTGAGGTCCACAGGCGATTTTTTAGTTAAATTTTGGATTTTATGGGAAAACAATTTGTATTTACTTATGGAATCAATTACAATAATTGGTAATGACTGAATCAAATTAATTGTGGCTAGACATGAGGCTTTCGGATACCAATTCTCGTGGCAAGGGCATAGCAGAATAAAGAATTACACGGGTTGAGGTAAGTAACAGTTCTAAATTTGGTCCTGAGGGTATGAAACCCTGAATTATATGTTATGTGATTGGTTTTGAGGTGACGCACATACGTGTCCGGAATATTATTTGGAAGTCCGTAGAGGAATTAGGCTTGAAATGCCGAAAGTTTTATTTTTGAGAAGTTTGACCGGGGAGTTGACTTTTTGATATCGGGGTTGGAATCCGATTCTGAAAACTGAAATACCTCTGTTATGTCATTTAGGACTTGTGTGCAAAATTTGAGGTCAATCGGACGTGATTTGATAGGTTCCGGAGTTGTTTGTAGAAATTAAAAATTTCAAAGTTCATTAGGCTTGAATTGGGGCGTAATTCATGGTTTTAGCGTTGTTTGAGGTGATTTGAGGATTCGACTAAGTTCGTATAATGTTTTAGGACTTTTTGGTATATTTGATTGAGGTCCCGAGGGCTTCGGGTGAGTTTCGGATGGTTAACAGATCAAAAATTAAACTACAACAGCTGCTGCAATTTCCTTCTGTTGGAAATTTCTTCTGCCAGATTCGAGCCCAAAAATCTCTCAGAATCGAGCTCAGGGTCGAGGGCCACGATCGAAGTCATGATCGAGCCCATAGTCGAGGGCCACGATCGAAGCCATGATCGAGCCCAGAGTCGAGGACCACGATCGAAGCCATGATCGAGCCCAGAGTCGAGGACCACGATCGAAGCCATGATCGAGTCCAAGGTCGAGGCTCACGGTCGAAGGCCGGGTCGAAGACATGATCGAAGGCCTAGGATCGAGAACCAGGATCGAGGGCCAGGATCGAAGACCTAGGATCGAGAACCAGGATCGAGGGCCAGGATCGAGGGCCAGGATCGAGGACCAAGATCGAGGGCCAGGATCGAAGGCCTAGAATCGAGGACCAGGATCGAGGACCTCGATCGAAGGCCAAGATCGAGGCAGAACCGAGGTTGTCTAGGCAGAATTATAAAAACAGGGACTTCGTCCCATTTGCCATTTTTGATAAATTGGAGCTTGAGGAGAGGCGATTTTTGATATATTTTCAAGAAAAAACTTGAGGTAAGTCCCTTGTGATCATTTATACTCCATAATATTGAATTATCCTCGAATAATCCGACTAGATTATATGATTTTGAGGTGTAAATCGGAGATTAGAACTTAAAAATTTGGAAATAAGATTTGTAGATTTGAGGGTCGAGTTGAGGTCGAATTTTGGTAAAATTGATATGGGTAGACTCGTGGTTGAATGGGCTTTCGGATTTTGTAACTTTCGTCGGGTTCCGAGATGTGGGCCCCACGAGCGATTTTTGAGCTAAATTTCGGATTTTTATGAAAAATTAGTATTTTCTTATGGAATTACTTCTAATAAATTTTATTGACTGAAACGAATTATTTGTGACTAGATTCGAGGCATTCAGAGGCCGATTTGCGAGGCAAAGGCATAGCAGAGTAAAAAGTTTCACGTGTTGAGGTAAGTAACGATTGTAAATCTGGTCCTGAGGGTATGAAACCCCGGATTTTGTATCATTCTACTATTTTTAGTGACGCACATGCTAGGTGACGGGCATGTGGACGTGCACTATTGGGGAATTGTGACTTGGTCCGCCCCGTAGCAACTGTAAAGTTGCATACTTTGTTGAAACCATTTGATACTTATATGTTTTAGAAAGAATTTTTTTAAATTGGGCTGAATGCCATGTTTGGGCCTTGCGCCAATGTTGTTTGGACCCTTAGGGGCTGTTTCTTGCCATCCTCTCATTGTTTTTAATTGAAAATCTATACTCAGTCATGTTTATACTTGTTTACCGCATAATTCAGTTTTATGACTCTATTTTGATGCATATAAATGTTTTGGGTCGAATGCCCTATTTTACTGAAATGCCCGAGTGGCTTGAGAGATTTATGACTGAGTGAGGTCGAGGGCCTGATTTGTGAGGATGAGTGTGGATCGGGGCTGCCCGCCTGCAATATATTTATGGCTGAGTGAGGCCGATGGCCTGATTTGTGAGGATGAGTGTGGATCGGGGCTGCCCGCCTGTTTTAGAAACATAATGCAAAAGCTGAATCTTGCTTGGTTTGTGGCGAGTCTAGGTGGAAATTAAGAGAAGGTCAAAAAGCTAATGGGGCTAATACAGAAAAGAGTGGGAGCAAAATTCCTCGGAAAGTTTTACGTTACTTTCCTTTGAAACCAAGATTGCAAAGGTTGTTTACGTCATCGGGAATAGCTTCAGACATGACATGGCATCATGATCAACGTTTGAAAGATGGGGTTCTTAGACATCCAGCCGACTCAGATGCATGGAAACATTTTGATACATGTAATCCGGGCTTTGCCAGAGATCCTCGTAATGTTAGACTTGGATTAGCATCTGATGGGATAAATTCTTTCGGCAATTTAAGTGTTTCTTATAGCACGTGGCCAGTAATTATTATTGTGTATAACCTACCCCCTTGGATGTGCATGAAACAACCATATTGCTTCTTGTCTTTGTTGATACCTGGCCCTAAAGCTCCCGAAAATGATATCGATGTATACTTAGAACCTTTGGTTGATGAGTTGCAAGAATTGTGGTATAATAGAATCAATACATATGATGCATCGAGAAAGGAGAACTTCTGTATGCGGGCATCACTCTTATGGACTTTAAATGATTTTCCAGCCTATGCCTACTTGTCTGGATGGAGCACAAAGGGAGCTTTGGCTTGCCCTTCATGCAACAAAGAGACTCCGTCTACTCGATTAAAGTATGGCCGTAAGTTCTCTTATATGGGTACTCGTAGGTTTTTATCGCCTAATCATAAGTGGCGGGGAAATAAACGTGATTTTAATGGGGAAGTAGAAAGAAGACCTACTCCAAAAATTATCTCTGGAGATGATATTTTAAACCAGTTGGATAGCTTGGAAGACATTAAATTTGGTAAGACCCAAAAGAGAAAAAGACACAAAAAAAAGTAAAGGCATTCATAATTAGAGGAAGAAAAGCATCTTTTTCAAACTTCCTTATTGGAAAAATAATCTAATACGCCACAATTTAGACGTCATGCATATTGAAAAAAATATGTATGACAATATTATTGGGACGTTATTAGATATGGAAGGAAAAACGAAAGATAATTTGAATGCTCGTCGTTATTTGAAGGAAATGGGTATAAGAAAAGATTTGCATCCAACTCAAAGAGATGGAAAGTGGTATTATCCAGCAGCATGCTATACTTTATCACCAGATGAGAAGTCTAAAGTATGCAAGTTCTTGAAAACTATTAAGGTTCCAGATGGATATTCTTCCAATTTATCACTGTGTGTAAAGTTAGAGGATCGTCAAATTTATGGAATGAAGATTCATGACTCTCATATTCTTTTGGAACAACTGCTCCCTTTTGCAATCCGCGGAGTCCTGCCGAACCATGTCTATGATGCTATTACCGAGTAAATATTTTCTTTAGAGAGTTATGTTCAAAAACTGTAAGAGTTGATGTGTTAGATCAACTTGCAACTCAAATTCCAATTACTTTGAGCAAAATAGAAAAAATATTTTTGCCAATATTTTTTGATATTATGGTGCACGTGGTCATTCATCTTTCAAGAGAGGCTAAGCTTGTTGGACCTGTAAAATACAGATGGATGTACCCAATAGAGCGGTATATTTTTGTATTTTATAATTTCAATTTAATTTTATGTGGCTTGTTAATTTTTTATGCTAAGCATTTAACTGAATGTTATATTATGTAGATTCTTGCGGAAACTGAAATGTTGTGTTCGCAATAGAAGTCGACCTAAAGGATCTATTGCAGAAGGGTATATTGTTAAAGAAATTCTAATATTTTGTTCAAGATATTTACATGGAAGTGGGAAATAGTATAATCAAATGGAAAAGAATTATGAAGATGATCATGTTGAGTCATACTGTGGATTGTCAATATTTGAACAAAAAGGTGGCCCTTTGTTAAGAGATACATCTAGAAATCTTGAAGAGCTTGAGCGAAAACAAGCTCATCTTTATGTTTTGAGAAATTGTGAAGAAGTTCAACTATTTTTACGGTATACTTTCTTATGGTATTGTATATAGCAATTTGATTTTGTTAGCTTTTTCTCAATTATTATTTTAATTTTTAAACAGGGAGTACGAGCAGAGTAATAGTGACATGAACTTTGATGATTGGTTTTTCATCGAGTAAGTTTTCACTGTATTCTTTATTCAATTTGTCATACTTATAATTTAATTTAGTTTATCTTTTGAGTGTCTATGGTTATATGGTGGGTGCTGCTACAAGAATTTTATTGTTCTTCCCATCTTTGTAGTCCTAACTATTTTATGTGATAACCTGAATTAAATTGGTAATTTTTCGTTAATGTTGGCTTGTCTCTAGTCTCATTTCTTTTAGTTGTATGGGCATTGCATTACATAGTCCAAACTATCCTATTAATATTAAGTGTTGTGTTTGTTACTGAATCCGCCAGTTTTAGGAAGTTCTTTGCCAAAATTATCCCTCTTGTTATCTTCTCTATCCCACTTTAGCATCAATACTAACTGAAAGCTAGCAACAAATGAACCATTTGTGCTTGCATCTCAAGCAGAACAAGTTTTTTATGTCAAGGATAATCTTCATTCCAATTGGTCAGTTGTCTTGAATGGTCATTCGGCTTATTTTACTGATGGTACTGTCAATGAAGAAACGTTTCAACAAGATGCTCAAGATTTCTCTTGTACATTTGAGGAAGATGAAGACTTTATGTATTGGAGAAGAAATGATCTTGGTGTTATCGGCACTGATGTTACCTTAGCTGATGATATTATTGAAGACATCGAATCAGAACCTGAAACTGATAATGAAGATTTGTTACTCTAAATATTTAGAAGTCTTATATGCATATTTGTTTATACTCAGTTAGTGTTAAAACTTTTACTTATTTGCTTGAGAGATGATGTTTAATTCTTTATTATTTTACTAAATTTATGAATTACGTCAATATACTGAATTATTTTGATTGAATATGAATTAGTATTTAATAGTGTTATGTTGATAATTATAGTTTGAATGAGTTCAAATATTCTCTTCTATAGGGTGTATGTTGATGGATTATCTAGTTACAACTTACAAGGTTGATGAAATTATGGTGATACGCCACTATTTATGAAGTATTATTAGGAAGAGTGATCTTAATAAGCGGAGAGATAACATCATTCAACAGTATTTTTTACATTATGTAGTCTCTTATTAGAAAATCTTTTATTTTAATAGGATTGGGGAGGTGAATAGAGATAAAAAAGAGAGAAAACTTGACCTAGAGTGTTCCCTTGCAACCAAACTGTCGCTCAGTTAATTCGGCCGTATACGACCATTCTTTTATACTCTAAATAATTCGACAACTGCACACTTTCCGCGTGAGAAATGGGAAGGAGTGCACTCTCTTGTCCTTACACTTCTTTCTTCTTCATAGTCAACACAATTGGTTATTGTGATTTCCTTTCTTTTTCTACTTCTGCATCACCAGAAAATTTTATTTTCATTCTAAATATTAGACTCCCGTTTTCATAGATTATAATTAATCTTTTTCAAAAAGAAATTAAAAATATTGTTTGTTCATGAAATTTAATTAATTTTTGAAAAAAAGAATTGAAGGAAAAGTTCCAAAAACTAGTTTTGACCAATTTTTGTGTGGAACTTTTCTCCACTTACAAAACTTTAATATTATTTTTAAGTAAAATGCATGTCCAAATACAACTTCAACTTTCATAAATTATTTTTCAATAGAACTTCAAAAACTCTTTTTTCAAGTTTCAACCAAATCTATGAGAAACTTATATTTTTTTTGTTAGATCAATAGACTATCGAAACAAGTTCCGTATTGATTTGATGAAAGTAGAAATCTTTCGGGAAGCACATATACATGAATATTGCTACAATTATTCATCCAACTATGAAACTTTAGTTATGTTAGTACTATTTTTATAGTTACTGCAAGTGCATGATAAAATTTATACTTTGCTACGAAAGTTTTTTTGTCTCAAAGTTGGTAGTTATATCATTTTTAAAGCAACATCATTCTTTTAGCTATAAAATTATGTTCAAACACATGTATCATGGCTAAAAAGTTACAATTGCTACAATGATTTTAAATTCATATTTAAAGCTTAGAATTAGCTACACCACTTGTTGTAGCTATTTAAATTTGTGGCTATATCATTTTGTCACTATAGTTAGTTGTAGCTATTGAGCTAACTGCTGCCACAGATTTTATAAATTGAAGCAAAAATATTCATTTAGCTACAAGATTTTGATTGACATAAATTATTGTGGTAAAATATACTTTGTTGCTATAACAACTTCAAACACATGGCAAAAACTAATAATTAGCTATAAATCTTTAGTGTAGCAATAAATTTATAGCTATTTTGACAGCTATTGCCACGATAGTTAGACACTATAGCAAAAATAAGAAATTAGCTTTGTCAGTTTAACTTTTGTAGCTAAGAAATTTTACAAAATTGTGAATAGCTACCAAATTATAATTTTTGTGGCTAATATTCGGTAATAGCCACTTTTTTTAAATTCGTAGCTAAGAATCTGTAGCTATAAATGCATAATGTTGTAGTGTCTGCATATGTTTCGTGTGTAGATCCAGGTACTTCTTATCAGCCCCGCTACTAGCTGAGAGTGCTTGCTACTGTACGGAGACTTCAAGGTATATCTGCCGCGTCCGCAGACCTCAGAGTCCCCCTCTATTCCCTCCTATGTCATTTACCTTCCTTACTTCTATTATTAGACTCTGGTGTATAGAGATACTAGTTTTCTTCTGTAGCTTGTGACTTATGATGTTCCGGATTTTGGGATTACTGTGTATTTTGAACAGTTAGTTGTTTAATTCATGTTTTTATTTTATTATTCCGTAAATGTTAGGCTTACCTAGTCATAGAGACTAGGTGCCGTCACGACGTCATACGGAGGGGAAATTGGGTCGTGACACAATTTTGGAAGGGATTTTTACTATTATTTTGAGTGTTTATTTCTACCTAGATTTGATTATATATTCTTGATTCTCCATGGATTTTAACCCCTAAACTAAGGATTTAAAGTATAAAAAATGGAGTTTTGGATATGAACTTAAGCGAGTATATTTCAAGAATTTGAGGGTTGATTTGGACCCGAATTTGAAATCTAATTACATATTTGGACTCATGAGTTTATGGATAGTGAAGATCTACCTCTAGACTCGAATTTTGACCATATGGGCACGAGTTGACTTTTATTGACTTTTTGAGATTTGATAAAAACTTGGAGCTTTATTGTTTATATTTGATTTCTATAGTATTATTTGACTTTATTAAGTAATATTTGACTAGATTCGAGTTGTTTGGAAGTGAATTTGAAAAAAAAACTATTTTGGAAGGTTAAAGGTATTCTCGGGTGGAGGTAAGTCTCTTCACTATCCTTGTAACAGGGAATTCTCCCATAAATGATGTATTTTCTACTTGCTACATGATTTAGGTGCCACGTGTATGCGAGGTGACGAATGTATATGCGTAGCTAGGTTATGAACGCAAAGTTAGGCTGAAATAATGCCTTATTTGAACTATGTGAATTGTCTGTCTATGTTTCATTGATTCTATGACTATGTAACGAGGCTTATCTATTATTAGAAGTCATGCATAGGGTTTTTGCTTGTTGATTTGGCCGTATTCATATTCTAGCCTTGCTTGACTTATGGTTTAATAATTATTGGCTCTTGTTGCTCATGTTTGATATCATGATCACAATTAAGAATATTAAATGAACATATTGAACTGTTATTGAAAGTTAAAATTACATGATTAGTCATAGCCATCTCTTATTCATATTAATCTTCATTCACATTTTTATTACTATGTCCTGGTGTGTCTTTATCACATCATGTCACGTGCATATACATGAGTTTTGAGAGCTGATTTATGAGGAAAGTTGAGAATTTTGGCACGAAAGATATTATGAGCAAATATTAATTATGGATTACAGTATTATTAGTGGATCGGGTTACACGTCGCAATATCGCTTGCATATTGATCTGTCCCTCCGAAGCCAGGTGATTACCCATATTATTTTGGGCCCAGTGAGCGCATGCACCCATAGTTTGGTGCTTAGTTTGGATACTTGGCTAGTGTCAGGCATATGGATTGGTATTGTGAGGTGTTGATATTAAATCATGAGCATGCACATGCATCGTAGATTCATATAGTAGCTCTCATATATAAATATTGATTGGTTTATATCATTATTTCGTTTAAAAATAATTGAGATATTTGACATTGAATTGTATTTCCTTTGTCCGAAAAGCATGTTGTTACACCTCCTTTTTTTTTTTATGATTGTGGAAAGGAGTTTTTCCAATTAAAGTGACATTATTTGAATTTTTTTTTAGGTGTCTCCACTTGGAATTATTGATTTTGGGGTTCCAAGTCACCAATTTTAAAATTTCTAATCAAGAAATTTTTTGACTCTGAAGTATGATCCGCAAACATAGAAAACCGGATAAGAAATTCTGTTGACTGGAGAAGGTGTAAGGCACTCTGCGAGTCTCATAGTTCTAGCACAGTCGCTTAGTAATTCATACTTGGCTTAATTAATTTTTGAATATTCTATGTGTAAAGGGTTTTATGCATATTTACCTTTAATCTCTTTTAATTGTTTATTTAATAAATTATAAAAATTATCTTGAACAAGTCACGCGTATGTGTACTTTCATGTGTTAAAAATTCGTGACACACGTACGTACCCACGATTAATAACATTTATTATTATTTGGAATTAGTTTGTCAAGTTGCAGGAACGCACACTTAAATTTTAATTTATGGATCATAGACATGTCACGCGAATGCACCCATAACTATGATAGTTAATTTAGTTAATCGTACCTAAAAGCATGCTAGCGTATATTGTGAGTTATTTCCTAAGTTTGAGATTTTTTGTAAAGGCCAAAGATTATGGAATTGTTTGTGAAGAAAGGTATTCGATTCAATCTCGTTACCAAGTTATGAAGTATTTACAACTTGAAGCATAACTAATAATTTCCTTACTAAAGAAGTAACTAAAGTGAATAATTATTTAGGAATTATTTGAGACCTTAATAAAATCGTTGAAGTCTTAAAAGTTTTGAATCTATTTCGGCTTATCAGCAGTCCTAGCATCATTTCTTCTTCGATTTTAGTCTATAGATTCCAAGTGAATAAATATGGCAAAGATCACTATCGATTTTTGTTGTAAAGAAAACACATTTAAACAAGTGCAAAGGAATTGGAATAGAGCTGACGGATTTATGAAAGGACTTATTGGATTATTGAATAATCTAAGAGTTTTGGGCTCGAAGTGAAGCCCATTCTAGCAGAATAGTGACAAATAAGCTTATATGGGCCTGAAAGAATTAGTGGGCGTTTGGACATAAGAATTGTAAAATTTCAAGTGGGCGTTTCTCACTTTATATATTTTATTTAATTATAACTTATTAGTTAGTTTTTTTTAAAATTATTTATGGTCACTTGACTAAAATAGCAGCCCATAGCTTTCTCATTTGGGTACCCCAATTTTCTGTTAATTAAACCCATCTACTACTCCTAACCAGTTTTACTTGTAGACTAAACTAAGCCCAATAGCCCAATAACTCATTTGGCCCTTCACAATATTTTCCAAACAAAATTCCTTTCTCTAAATTAAGTGAAAATAACACATGCTAGTCAGTTTTCGAACTGATAATTAAAAAATAGCCAGCATTTGCAAAGTCATTAAAAAATAACTACTATTTTGCTGCAATACGGAAAGTTCCAGCATTAGAGATTAGTGAACATGTGTATGAACTTTCAGCATATTATGCTGGAACTCCAACACACGAAAAGTTCCAATATAATATACTGGAGAATGGAGCACCTGCATATGAACTTCCAGCATATTATGCTGGACCGGTATATTATGCTGGAACTCCAGTATATTATGCTACAATATTTTTCGAATTTTGAATAATATTTTCTTTCACATTTATCTTTATGCGAAAAATGACTAAATTTCGATTACTTTTTAAACAATAACTATTTTTCAATTACCACTCATAAATTTGGCTATTTTAGAATTTCACCCCTAAATTAATCCCAAAACCAGACCAATTCCCCATTCTCCTCGTTATCTTCCTCGCCACAATACCCATTTTTCCCTTTCCTTCATTTCTCTATTTTATCACTTTAATTAGTCTCTTTATTTCCTTCTATTTTTTAAAAAAATTATTTTCTTTCCTTAATTGTTTTACCATTTTATTACTAAGTGTCATAGCAAAATCTCTTCCCTAATCACTCAAAATCAGAAAGTATTTCTTCCTTTAAAGAACGAATTTTAGCTGAAGATTGGGGTACGAATCTCTTTGGAGAATCAGTCTATGTTCAAGAAGTCACCAAATAGGTAAGAATTTCGAATTTCTCGCGGGTTCCACTCTCGCTATTATCAAGTTTGATTTGATATAATTTTATTTTGATTAGAGAATCTCAATCTTGTAAGTTTCTTTCCTTCTTGACATGATTTCTTGCTCTAATTATACTAGTGGTCGAATTTTATAAATATTACAAAGATCACTTTTCCCCAAAATTGGGGCCTCCAATTTCTGCTAATTGATTCTGTCACATAATAATATATTAAACTTAATTTCCGTCCTTTTATCTTGTGGGATTACACCGGGTTGTTGTTGTTGTTGTAATTTCTGTCCTTTTAACTTTGAGTGTTAATAATTTTTAGCTATAAATACTACTACTGTTAAGGCAATGGGGATGACTTTTGGACCACTGCTCTTCACCACTGTTATAATATTGCTAGGATAAACCATATTCACTGCTTTTCAGCTACTGCTTTGCTAGCTGTAAGCCGCGACAAAGTTTGGATTCTTTTATTTCACTCGATATGAGTATATTGCTCGGAATCTTTAGAGGTTCTTGCGATCTCGGAGTGTGAAGATTCTGGTATTGGTTTCTTGTTGTTGCCGTTCAAAATTTTTATCACTGAGTATTCTGAAGTTTGTTTGGCTTATTTACGGCTGCCCAAGCTCTGTTCGTTTATCGGTATTTGGATTTCTGGTTTTCTTATTAATTTGGAGCTTTGCAAATTGGTTAGCTTCTTGTCGATACTGTTTTTAGCTTCCTATGCGTTAGTTATGTGTAAAGTAGTAGTGTTCGATGCCATTTCTTAGTTTCTTGCGTGGTAGTCGTATGTAGAGTAGTTGGTTTAAATATTTATGCTGCTGGAATGCTATATTAATCCTGAAAGCTCCCAGGTCAGTTCCCTCATTCTTTATGAACATTGCTAACTTACTTGCGTGAAACTTCTCTGTTTGAATCATGCCTTTACTGCTTTCTGTGGATTGGTCATCCTGCTAAAACTTGCTTGAATACATAGGTCCTGTTAGAAAATGAGATATGGATTTAATGCGTGTAAATCGGGTTGCCTGCACTCCATGTTTGTCTAGATATAAATTTATACTAGGTTTATTCCTCATGTGTTAAGCATCCCAATATCCTAAGAGTTTCATGTTTAAAGTGTCGAGGACCATGCTTTAAGTTCCAAATATTACGGTGCTAGAAGCAAAATATTTGGTTTAATAATGAAATTTGCCTAACCCTTTAATCTACATCTGGATAAGTAATTTCTTAAGAATGTAAAAGGATTGCATTTGATTGATGTGTGACTTGGGTATTTAAATAACATAAGCCTGAACTGAGCATCATAGAAATAACGTGCTTAGGGAAGTCTGATTAACCAATTGAAGTGTTGTAATGTAGCAAAATCAATTCAGATGCATGTTTGTATGTTCTCTGCTTTCTGGAATAGCAGGTTCATGATCTGAAATATTTGGACCAAAGCTGAAAATTTGAAGAGTGGAAAACCCCCAGAGAAAGAATCGTGTGGAGTCTGCCGAAGTCTAATGAACTATTAGTTTTATTTTTGGACTCTGTTGTAGTATTAGCATGCAATAACTTTGTCATAATGGAAAAGGTGATATAAATTGCTAAGTATTTATTTGAAAGTTTCACTTATATGATTAGTTGTCAATTCTAGTCTAACAGCTAGCGATTGCATAGAAGTATATCAAAGTATATTTTCTTGCTAATCCTAATTACTTATGAGTAGTGATATGCGTTTTTTTAAAGTAGACTGAGTCTTTTATAATTACTACAACAACAACAACAACCCAGTATAATCCCACTAGTGGGGTCTGGGGAGGGTAGTGTGTACGCAGACCTTACCCCTACCATGAAGTAGAGAGGCTGTTTCCAATAGACCCTCAGCATCCTTCCCTCCAAGAACTCCCCACCTTGCTCTTGGGGTGACTCGAACTCACAACCTCTTGGTTGGAAGTGGAGGTTGCTTACCATCAGAGCAACCCCTCTTGTCGAGTCTTTTATAATTCACTGCTCAAACTTACAAATTTTTTGACATGTTGTTGGTAAACTAATAAAAAGCTAAAGTATTCTAGACTTGCTGAAAGTTAGTATCCTAATTGCGGTAGTCCATTTGAGTCTATTATAGTATTAAATTTTTTGTAAGCACTTGATTCTATTTTGAAATTATCTGCACCTCTTTGTATCTTATTCTAGTTCTAAAACTCATTCCTTTTTTTCTAATCATATAGGTTCACTTGGCTTTATCTAAAATCTGAAATTTTCTTTAATTGTGGTTCAAAAAATGATAATCTAGGGTTAGTTTCGCAAGTATTTTGGATATTTGGCCTTATCATTAAGTTAAGATTTTCTTTACCAATACACCTGCCCATTTGGGTTTATAAAATTTTGATGAATAATATTTTATTTTTTGATACATTGGTTAGTAAAAGATCAAAATTGCCTTTATAAATATTTTGCTATACTTACTCTTTTAAACACGCCCTTTTATCATACTTGTTTTCAGTTATATTTGCTTCATCTTATTTCAGATCTTGAGTATTATATCAAATAACATAGTTCATTTTTAAGACCCCTAGATTACTATTCTAGTAATTATTAATTACTTAATAAATTCGGAGGCCAACGTGAGCCCTTGCTCGTCCTGTGTGCTACTTGTTTAAGTCCAATGTGCTCCCCTTTGCGTGACGCTAATAAGTAATTAGACTAGAAACTTGAGCTTTTTTTCAAGTCTAGCACCACCTATTAGATAGTGTCCAATGCCTTCTGGACTATAGGAAGGGACATGTAGCAGTCTTAAGACACGTGCTAGAATCAATTAGTGCGCTTTAGGTAACAACTTAAAGATAGTAATGAGAGTGCGCTTTAGGTAACAACTTAAAGATAGTAATGAGGGTAGCGGAGATGATACACAAATTTCCCAAATAGCCATTGCACTTTGGCTATAAAAGTCTTAGCAGATTTTGCACGTGAGTTGATCCATTAGGCTTAACAATTTAGGTCCCCTTTAAATAATTAATTACTTCTTTTAGGCTATCAGTTCTTTCTTTATGCATTTGACTGTTTAAGTAATTATTTGTTCATCTTTAATTGTTTGCATATTTACCGTGTAGTAATAACAAACTAGTTTAACTTTCGAGTAGTAACCAAATATTCCCACATAGTCTAAAATTCGGCCGGGAACCACAGTTGTGGACCTCAAAGAGTGCCTAAAACCTTCTCTTTGAGGTAACTTGAACCCTTACCCGATCTTTGGTGATGTTGACTAGTCAAATCAGAGTTATTTGCAAGTAGGTGCCCTAACGCACCTTCAAATCGTTAGGTGACGACTCTTCTCTTTTAGTATCCATTTAAAGGAGTTGTCACATGTCGAAACCCGCTTTCGCGAGAAAATGGGGCACGACAGTACCCATCCAGCTACTCAGGAGCTTGCATTGGAGACTTCGTGGTGAGCTGCCCTATTTGTTCGATCCGCAACACATGGAGTCCCCTTTCCTTATTACCCATTTCTATCCATTTACTTTTTCCAAGACAGATGTTGTCATTTGGTTGATATAGTTTACTCTTTCTTAGATGCTTGTGATATTGTGACACCGGGTTTTGGGCGTTGGTTAGACAATTATGGTCGTGTTTAGACTCTGTCTTGGTTTTATATATATTATGATGTTATTTTGAGACTTATTCCGCTTTTATTTATATCATAACTTTGACAATAACTTAATAATTGCCTCTATTATTGTTGAGTGTTGTTTGCCTAGCAAGCACGTTAGGCGTCATCATGATCTTTGGTGGCTTTTTAGGTCGTGACATCCGAACATCGCCATTATGTAAAATTCTATCAAGAGGTGTCCACAACAATATAGTTTGCTATGTCTTAATCAAGAATAATATTGACTTCCAATTTAAGTAGATTTTGTTTTCTTGGCTTGCGCATTAGGTTATAGGCTCTAATTTTTCAGACATTAGTTATAGTCTCTTATACCGAAAAGCTAAATACTAAAAGACTGAATTTTCTGTTCTTGTCCTTGGCTGAATACTAAAAGACTCGATTTCTGTTCTTGTCCTTCTTCACCTGATAATTTAGTTGCTAATACAGTTTTTTCTAGTTCCCTTTTCTTTCCTTGTTGATAAAATAGGTACTCGTGAGATTTGAACACTACACCATTTTGTCCAAAGTGATGTTGCAGCCACTCATTGGATACTGAACCTCCAGTTGGTACTTTTAGGAAAAGAAATTTAAAGAAAATTATGTGTAATATTGATAATTTGATATAGATGAATGTTATAGCAAGCTCTGAAATTGGATTTAAAACAGAATTGGACACTTTTAGTGCAAATATATGTCCATAAAATCAAATCCAACTTAATACATCCCATATTTGGAAAGCAATTTAAAAAAAAATCTTTTATAGTGACCATAAAAATTAAATGTAACTAATTTCTTTAAATGATGAATTAGCATAGTTTTGTATATGATCGTAAAATAAAATCGAACATAGATAATTAAAGCAAACTCACCTGTACATGACTTAAAGGGGCAGGGCTGGGCAAAAATCTGGAAAAATGTTAAATGGAGCAAGATAGGACGGGTCAAAATGTTAGCAGGTCAAGACTTGTCCAGCCCTGCCACGCCCCATTGCCATCCCTATACATGGCTAACAATGTTAAGGAAATTGGAGAAGAAAAACTTGATCATCTTAGGCCAAACATACATGCTCTTAGTCATAAAAAAACAGTAAAGGTAAAGAGAGATTATAGGACGTTAGTGTTGCCACCAAAGGCTGAATCTTCATTCTTCAATTTGCACCAAATTGGTACAGTGTTAAAATCTTATCAACAATTTTGCTTTCTTATTTTAGTTTTCCTATTACAAACACCGTTTCCTAGAATAAAATAAAAACAAAAACTTTACTCCTATTTCAATACTGGTTAATATCAAGAATACCTTGGTGATCGAAATCAATGTAACTGATGAATGAAGTTGGTTGTCCTAGCATTTGTCACATTTTCAGAAAAACCATAGTTAAGTGGCGAACGTTGTAGCAAAAATGGGGTTATTTTAATCCACCTAATGTTGAAAATATTTATATTTTAGATTTTCAGTTCCCTTAAAAAAGTAGAATCTCGACTTGTAATGGACATGATGTTATTTCAATTTAACATGTAAATTGAGGGTGTTTAGCACCCTCTTCGTCTTTGAATTACCCATTTTTCCCTGTTACTTTTATAAGTTCCTTGAATATTTTAATTTTGTAATTTAAGTCAGGGAAATTAAAAAATGGGGAGGATAAATCTGATATTTACTCTCTACTAGTAGACATGGCACAAAAAGGGATGACTGGGAATCATCACGTGCAAATCACGTATTATCCATTTTCTTGAACTCCTTTTAGCTTCCTAGCCCATCGATCCAAATTGAACTTGTTCTCTCCCTCACTTGCCGCCCATTAAGTAAATCTCAAAATCTTAAACCACCGGAGCAATTTCATCTGTGGTTAGGGGCTTGCTTCCTTTTTCGAATTCTTTCGCTGGGTCTAATGTCTTCTCCTTTTAGAATCCTGTAGCTTTGTGTTTTCTTAAAAAATTCTTTCAGAACTTTTAGATATTGCCTATTGCCAGTCTTTTTCCCCTTTAATAGGAATTCTTTCCTCTTTGTTTCAGCTTGACACTTCACTGTGAAAATGCTCATCTTATGATATTTCTAGCCAAATCTTTTGTCAATTCCTGGTGTAATATAGTGAAAAAGCACTGGTTGCACAATTATTCTTTCTATTTATTTTATGTTGTTTTAGGATTGTAATTCAAGGTGTGTTCTACTGCAGAAAAGCTTGAATCTTTGGTGAGAAAGGGAGAAAATGGATTCAGGTGATGCATCCGGATATTCAGCTGGGGTGGACGATGATTATGAATCTTTACTGTCAACGACTGATGCGGAGCTCTTGAAACGGGCATGGCGGAATGAAAAGGCTGCTCCTGAAATTCTTCAATTTGAGGCTGCTTTAGTTCAGCGGTCTAGAGAACAGATCCAATTGATGGTATGCACATTTTACATATTTAGATTTGTCTGGTTAATTTTTGAACTTTGGCTTTCACCTTATATTCTAAGTATTAGATAGATTCCTTTCTATGTCACTCCCTCCGTGCCATTTTATGTAAGAGGATTGGGCACGGAATTTAAGAATGAAAGACCTTTGAAACTTGTAGTCTAAAATTAGCCATACACATTTGTGGTTGTAATTCATCTCATTGAGGGTTAAATGAGAAGCTTAAAGTTAAATTATTTTTAAATATAGAATGGTGTTATTCTTTATGGGACAAACTAATAAAAAAAGTGCAGCACATAAAACGGACAGAGGTATTAATACTTATTTTGTGTTAAAATTGTATTTCGTTTGGCATTATGTGGTGGACATATGGCTTAGGTTGAGAATTATTAGCTGGTCTCATAATTTCAGATGGGTAGGGACTATGCTGTACAAACACAAAAGTGTTTGTTTTGCCCCAGACTCTAGCATGATTCAACTGAAGTTTCTTAGTCTTCTTGAAAGGATGAGATTCACTTTTATTTGGACATACTTACATCTAGTAGAGATAATTTCACTGGAAAATTATTGAATTAATTTTTTTTATTTTTGATAAAGTAAGTGATTTCAATACAAGGTATCAAGAAGATGCAAGAAGTACATGATTTGGCATTTGAGCTTACAAAAAATATTCGTGGCTCCTATACATAATTGACTAAGCCAGAGCTAAAGAACTAATGAAATCTAAAAGATGATCAATATCGTTGATAGGGTATAGTCTTGACTAGCAAAACAAATTGGCAATAAACAGAACCTTTAAAGAACCTATAGGAGTTGAGTTTCCATCAAAACATTTGTTGTTTCTCTCTGTCCAATTGCACCAGAAAATACAAGCAGGGACCATTGACATTGACCAGATTTCCTAATGGCTTTATCAACTCTGTAAACTCCAGCTCTTATAAGTATCCTTGACTGTGTATCCTTAACAACTATTCAATTAATGCATAACAGAAATTTAAGTCTAGAGCATCTGTTTGCACTTTGTCTGCTATTTCTATTAATATTCCTGTAGGAGCATGACTTCAATGGAATATTTTGTTCGCGCACACCCTCTCTCTCTAGTCTCCCCTGTAACTAGTAACTTTTCTAATGTCATATACCATGACACACTTACAGTTACACCTTTTGTTGTGCATAAGTTTTTTAAAGCACTAGGAGCATTACTCATAAAATATCCTAGTTTAAGAAGCATCTGCCGCTCAAAAGATGGAAAAGTTAGTACTGGAACTTAAGTTTGTCGGGGAATACCACCGTTACGTGTAACTTAGTCCAGTAGTGTTGGAGAGCTCTATTTGCAGGTATAAAACAGGAAGGTAAATGGCAACATAGACTTGAATAAACAAATGGAAGAACCATGAAAGAAATGTTAGAATCTTTTTTTCACTGGAAATTGTTGTTTGTCGATATAAGTGAGTGGCTTACAGTTGAAGCTAGTGAATTGAGAGCTTAGGAACTTGATGCTCTCAAATAAGTTGTTTAACATGTGGTTTTGGATGTGATGATTTTGTCCGGTAGAAAGCTTCTTGTGATTGCTTATTAATAAATAAAACACTTAGCAAAATTAATAAATAAAAAACTGCGTGGAGCAAAACACTTAGAAAAATTAATACATAAAGAATTGCAAGGGTAAAATAAATGCGAGGAGCATATTCTCAGCAAAACAAAAAAATAAAAACCTACAAGGGTAAAAAAATAATTGTAAGGAACGGATAAAATTCCAGGCAATAATTGTAACCTCGAGTAGTGCAATCATCAAAAAAGTAAAATAAATAAAAAAATATGAAAAATTCAATTACACACTACATATGTCTTCCCAAAAGTGGGAAACAATCCTAAACTAACTCATCCACGTTCTCTAAACATATATGTCAATGTCGATTCTTCTTTACGAGTCGTATTTCATTCCATATTTTTTGCAAAGATGGCTTCAACCATTCACTATATCTGACAAATTTCCAGCAATTCCATGCAATAGAATTTGTAAGTTTGAGTAGTGCGATTGTGCGAAATCCGGGATAAATTCACATCTGAAATACCGTTTTCTATCATGCTTCTTTATGACTACCGTATCATTCAAATAAAAGTTTCTTACTATTTTTAATTTTTATAAATCTCCGCGCAACGAGCGGGTACGAATACTAGTAAGTTGTTTAACATGGTGGTTTTGGATGTGATGCTTTTGTCCAGTAGAAAGCTTCTTGTAATTGCTTATTAATAATAAACTGAAGCCTATGGTACAGGATATAGCCACATTTCGTAAATCACAAATGAAGTTATTGGTTGTAATATAAAATTGTGTGCTAATCATAATGTAAAAGCTGTTACGCTCTCATCCAAACAACGATTATCGTGACTTTATCATTTTGTGCTGTTGCTGCTACTTAATGGAACAGTGGGTAGAATGGTTGTATGTATGCATTTAATGTCCACTGCAACTCTTTTTTCCCTGTGTTTGTTTTTCTATATGTCATACATTATTTTCTCTCACCTGTTTTGATGGCTCATGGTCTCATTCCTGGTTTGCTATCAAATTTGCTCTTCATGGTATCTGCTTCTTACTTTCATTACCTCAACTTTTTAGGTTATGATGTATTACCTTTTCTGGACATAGTCCTTTCACCCATCTTTATTTTGATTGGCTTCAATCCATCGAGACACTTCATGAACATCTACTTCAGCAGAGTGTTATGAGTTCAAACTAACACTGGCTGAAGACATGTTAGGATGAAAGACGCCGTCAGACAGGTCGTGAATAAGACATTGTTGAAATCATTGCAGAAGCTTTAATTGTTAATGTGATTGGGGAACAATTGTTTAGTAGCTCTGGTTAGGTAATCTTGATGTTATGATTGAGAAATGTATCTGACGGGAGCTCTTATTTGTACTTCAGCTATAAAACTTCACCCTATGAGTTCATTTAATGTAAAGATTTTATTTCTTAAAAAAATTATATCTTCAGTATTGGTGTACTAATCAGTATGGATTGTAAAACTCCTCTAACAGTCCAAATCTATGTTTCATTTGATAATGCTGTAGTTTCTCATCTTAGGTTACTCATTCCAAATCTTTGTGAATTAACTTTCGCTGTAGTTTCTCGTCTTAGGTTACTCAATATTAATTTATGTGACTTCATTGTTTAGAATATATTGCATTGCTGATGCTTCTTAATCTTTGCTCTTCAGGAAGAAACAGTGGAGGAATTTTCAAAAAATGGTGTTGATCCACTCACTGTGTCTCTGTACCAGATGGACTTGGATAGAACTCTGTTTCTATTGAGATCATATTTAAGAACCCGTCTCCAAAAGGTAGTCGTGAATTGTAGTATCTTATTGTGTCTTTGATAAAGGTGAAGTTCATATTCTGGAAAGAGCTATAATTGTGACGCTGGAGAGATACCTCAGTCTACCAACCACTTGTAGTTTCGAATAGTTCTTTAAGTTACTGAAAGTGTTGTTAAAGCAATGTGTTTTCTGTTTGTGTGTGATACGATCTCATCTCTCAGCTATGTTGCGCGAACTCCCAAAATGTTGCCGCACCCGTGGCGGATCCTCCAAAAATGCACTGCTTTTGTTGGATCCGACACGTACCCGGCAACCTTTTCAGGGAGCCCGGGCAACAGTCTCTCATTGTGTCGATGTAGCTTATCCCATCTTCATTCATTTTGTAATTAACATTTGACTGCAGATTGAAAATTATGCATTTCACATACAAAAAACTACTGACTTACGGAATCGTCTATCTAAACAAGAGCAGAATTTTGCTGAAAGGTAGATCTGTTATTCCTTATTCTTAGTGTTCAATGCATACCAAGTTTGTGATGTTGATTGCCTGTGATGATAGGTGTATTGATGATATGGAGCAACATCTAGATCAATCTGTTCTTTCAAAGTTGCCTCAAGGTTTCAAGTCCCATTTGAAGCAATCTTCGCTAAGTTTGGCAGATGACACGGGTAGGCTTGCCATACTCCGTACAGATTCATTAAGATAAATTTTTCTAGTCTCTTCCGCTATCTGCTTGTTTATACATCTCCGTGTGTGTTGAAAATCTATATGAGCTAAGAGAGTTTCTGGGAAGATAAATGGTTATGCCGTAAAGAGAGCATTTTGAAATAGTAGACGGTTTGTTGCTAAGTGATTTAAATTGTTTATGAACGCGGTGCAGCAATGTAAATGCTCTAATGAATTGCCAAACCTGCAATCTGATTGTGAGTTAGTTTAAGGCGTGGTGCAAATTCTTGTACTCATGATATCAGCTTATTTTCTTAGCATTTTAGACATCTCAGATATAAAGACTTGCAGGATTTACATTTGTAGTGAAGTAACGGTTTCTCTGCTTGTGTGTTGTAGTTCCTGAGCCACAGCTGGATCAGTATGTTATCTGCAGAAGCAAGAGATTTTTAGGAGCTTTTCAGCTTGATGACAGGCAAAATTCCTTACTTTATTGTATGTAGTTTTTATTTGGAATGCTGCCTGATTATCTTCTATGTTTGTAATTGTCTTTCTTTGATGACAGTGGGGAAGAACCAGTGAACATTGAAGCCAATGATTTATATGCTCTGCCTTACAAGTCCATAAAGCCACTTGTGGAGAGTGGGCAGATCGATCTGGTATAGGAAACACTACCCCTTTGTTTTCTGCTGATAGGAAACTGCGGCGGCTATGCACAAATCAAGACTTACATTATCCAAGCTTAAATGATGTAGTATGGGATGTTACACTGCTCAAGAATTATCTCTCACATTGTGGTATGAATACTCCTCTGTTGTCTGTTTCGAAAGATGTTTAATCTTTTAATTTGTTAATTTTTACCATGTGTGGAGTCATCTATAAAAGTTTTAGGGCTTTGGTGAAAATTTGAAAAACAAAATCATTTTTTTCGAACAAACTAAGACTAATTTCAGTTTGAAACATCATCAGCATCCTTCTTCAGTTATATATAGTTAGTCATTGTTGTAAGCATACTTGGATCATCCTTCTCATCTTCTACTCTAACTCTTTTGTACAAGGATGAAATATTCATCCTTCTCTCCTAATTACACTTCATGATAATGATCATCGTATCTATCTGGAAATATACAGCCCTTGTCACCTGGCTCGAGGTAGAAAGTGGCATCAAATTCATTCCTTTTTTTTTTATCGGACGATATATTACATATTAAAGATTTTCAAACTCAAACTATAGGGGACTCAACCAAATAGGGGTGTACAAACCGAACTGGAAAATCGCATCAAACCGAAAAGTCAAATCAAACCGATTAAAAAACCTGATGAGGTTTGGTTTGGTATTGAGTAAAAAAATCCGAATCAAACCGACATATAAATATATAATATATATATNATTTAATAGAATATGAAGTGCTCCATTTTTATTAACTTTAAATAATGTGTTGTATGATAACTTTCTTACAACAACAACAACAACAACCCAGTATAATCCCACTAGTGGGGTGTGGGGAGGGTAGTGTGTACGCAGACCTTACCCCTACCTTGGGGTAGAGAGGCTGTTTCCAATAGACCCTCGGCATCCTTCCCTCTAAGAACTCCCACCTTGCTCTTGGGGTGACTCGAACTCACAACTTCTTAGTTGGAAGTGGAGGGCACTTACCATCAGAGCAACCCACCTTGTTAAGAATGCGTCAAACGTTATTGAAATGCGTCAATCTCTTTGTTTTTTCATATTCATATGTTAAGATCTATTAGATTCTTATATCTTTTTCGAATTTGAAGTGGTATTTCGATAATTGAAAATTAAATAGTACATATGATTATTTAGGAATCATATTGGTTTTTATGTTTAATTATTAAATTCAGTTAATTTTGAGAGTGTACATCAACGAAAATTAAATGTCAGGCAACTAAAAAAATAACTATTATGTGTTACTAAGAAAATTCTCCCATAAGAATATTTTAATAGATCATATGTTTGTCATTTTTTTAATATCTATTAAACATATATTTACATATAAAAAATTTAACAAAATAAGATTGACATATTATTCATATAACAAAAAACCCGAAAAATCCGAACCAATCCAAACCGATATTGTTGGTTTGGTTTTAATAAAAATCGAACCAACCCGGTTCATGTACACCCATACAACCAAATATTATGAAAATAATGCTAGATTATATGTGGGGATTAATTTTTTCTACATTGTAAGAAATGTCAACGACAAAGGCCTTTGGTGATCTTATTGGCGCATACCACGATGGGGTCTTCGATTGAGGTGAAGCGTAACAAGATAGCTATAGGAGAACCTATGGCTGGATCGAATCTTTCGCGATGAAAATGCACTCTTCCCCCAACTTTCCAACATAGGAGCTAGCTTGCTTCCACTGGTGACAGGCGGGTGAAAGGTCCAAAGGACACATAGCCGGGGCGAGTCAAAATAGAATAGTTCCATTTTCCTTCTTGTTCCTCAACCGAAAATCAAAATAAATCGGGCACTACGGTAATACGTGAAAACACATGATAGACATAAGAAATACATATATATTCGTGTCACTAAAAAAGTCTTTTTCTATAACAATAATCAAATGATAGTTAATTCTAACAATCAATTAAATATATAAATAGTGCAAATATTTTTTACTCTATCAGTATGTATGAGTTAGATTCGATAAAAAGAACACTCCATTAGTTTGCAACATGGAAAGATAATATTCATCCTATTATGATCAGTTAAATTCTATTGTAATTTATTATTATTATTATTATTATTATTATTATATAGTGTTAACTTAAATTTTAATCCATTTAGGAGTAATATAAATAGGACTTTTTAAAGGAGCATTTTATTTATTCTAAGAGAATGACTTTAATTCGTATTAGACAACGGCAAAGTTTTTGACGTTTTTTTTTTTCATGTTTACGGATCTAAGATCATTGCAAAACCGATCTGGGGCAAAGCACAAAAAAAAAGACACTAAAATTCCTAATATAAATAAAATAGGAATCTGCATTTTCAAGAAGGAATCAAATTGCTTTCAATTTTTAAAATTTGAAATAAATAAAAAGAAGAAAATACATTTTCAAGAAAGAACAAATTTTTTTTAATCTCAATACTGGAAAGAACGTACTTAAAGAAAAAAAAAGTTAAAGTTGCAATCGGCAATCACAAATTAAACACTTCATAATCCTCATTTGAGCATCTCAAGAATATTACAAACTTATTGAAAGAATACATATTGTACTTCAATTTTTTTTTAATATATATTTGACTACTATCTTAAAAGAATAATATGACATGAATTTTGGTAAAAGTATACTAAAGGGATAAAGACCGTAATTGATTTTCAATACAACAATACAAAGACAAGAACCAATACAAGGAATATAGGTAGTGACAGTTATACATAGGTCACCAACAGTCTTACGATTTCTGAAAACGCCAATTTGAATAATAAAATAAACTCATGAGAAGCACCTTAACCGTACAACAGTGTTTCTACCAATTTAAATTCAATCATAATATTGTTAACTATAGTCAAATTAAATTTAATACCTTCACTCATTAAAATGGATCTTATTAGATACCTGTCACTTTAAATTTCACAAAGACATAATCCATACTAATGTGACAATCCGACATGTCATTTTAAGTTCTAACTCTTATTTTCGTGCTCCGAGATCTCTATTAGCATCATTTAGTATTTCTCGATTTACGTGCACAGTCCGTGCTTTTTTCAGAAAGATTTTATGTGAATTTTGAAGAAAATATGATTTTTGGCTTTAAAAATAACTTGAGTTGACTACGGTCAATATTTTGTGTAAACGATCCCGAATCGGTATTTTGACGATCCCGGTGGGCCCGTATCGTGATTTTGGATTTGAGCGTATGCCCGAAATTGAATTCGAAAGTCCTTAACTTGATTTGTCGAAAGCTAGTAACTTGAAGGTTTAAATATTTTCTAGATTTGACCGTAGGCTGACTTTATAGCTACCGGGTTCGGATTTCAATCCTGTGACTTAGTATAGGTTCATTTTGTAATTTGAAACTTGTCTGCAAAATTTGGTGCAAAACGAAGTTGATTTGATAGGATTCAGACGCTCGGTTATAAATTTGGAAGTTCTTGAGTTTTCTTTGAAAATTTCATGCATTTTAATGTCCGATTCGTAGTTTTAAGTGTTAATTTTGGATTTCGATCGCGCAAGCGAGTTCGTATTATGTTATTACACTTGTGTGCATTTTTAGTTTAGAGCCCGAGGGGCTCGGGTGAGTTTCGGATAGGCTACGGATCATTTTGAACTTAATTTTTTTTTGATTTTTGACTGTTGCTAATGTCCGGTGGAATGTGCTTCGCGATCGCGAAGCTACTCTTACGATCGCGAAGGGGAAACTGGGGCTGGGGCGGAATCGTTCTTCGCGAACGCAAAGTGGGGGGGGGNTAGGAGGAAGCTGTCCGATACTCTTCGCGAACATGATCCTTGGCCCGCGAACGTGAAGGCTGGGGGAGTAACCCTCCGTGAACGCAAAGGCCATTGGCCGCTGCTGCTTCGCAAACGCGTCAGGTGCTTCGCGAACACGAAGAACACATGACGGCCAGTGTTATAAACTTTCAATGGGTAATTGGATTTTGGCATAAATCTCTGTCACGACCCCACTTTTTCTCCGTAGGATGCCGTGACGGCACCTAGTCTCTAAGATTAGGTAAGCCTAACACTTACTAAGTAAACAGAAGAATTCGACAATCAAATGAAAAATACGAGATAAAAAAAATCATATACAAATTACAATTTCCAAAATCAGTAGTACAAGTCATAAGCTCTACTGAGTTCGCTAAGAGAATCCTTAAGTACAACTGTTCGGAATGGAAATAAAATAGTACAAAAACGAAATCAAAAGGTTACTCCGAGGCCTGCGAATGCGACGACAGGTTTACCTTGAGTCTCCACAGCTCGACCAGCCAGCTAATAACCAACAACAACCGTGGCACCTAGATCTGCACAAAAATATGTAGAAGCGTAGTATGAGTACACCACAACGGTACCCAGTAAGTATCAAGACTAACCTCAGTGAAGTAGTGACGAGGGACAGTCAAGACACCTACCGGACTAAACAACCTGAATAAGTGTGAAGGTGTACTAACAGAGGAAGCAATATTAATATAAAGCTAAGCAGGATAAGGAACACAAATTAATACTTGCAATGATACACTAATAACAACAATATTTAACAAGAAGCAGTCAGGTGATAATGCTGTAGAGTAAGCTGAACACAGTCTAAGTCCGAAAAAATCAAATAAAGGGAAAACTAGCAACAACTCCATAAGAACTACCGCTTTCACACCAGATATGTTCAAGCATTTTCACGAGATACCGAACCTCATAATCACAACTCACGGGTCCCAATTCATGAACCCTAATCACTTGGCATCTTTTGCCCACATTTGCATTCATAATCGCACGGACGATTCACGTGCCGAGTGAACAACTCTCACTCAGAAGGCAAATAGACAGGAATACACGTAATGGTCAATAACGTCAGGATTCATCTTCTCAAACTGATATGGGTGATTAATCTACGTGTATGCTTGTGCAAGTGTTCTACCACGATCCAAGTCAACAAATAAGAGCAAAGACAATGAATGACACATAAGAAACGATCACTGCGAAATATACAGTGTAAATAAGACAACAATGAAGTTTGAAGCAGCGACCAACACAACAAGATTAGCTACATAGTACTGAGTAAATAATGCAACACGGAGGAGAATAATTAATAGTATGCTAAGGAAAACAACAATCAAAGACAAGTGCACAGAAAAGGGGAAATGACAACAAGACCACTCCCGAGGTGCCGCCTCGTAGTCTCAAATCGTAAAATGAATCACAACTTTCCTTATATCACTCATATGTATCAATTAACACAACGGAGCGGCAGAAACCTCGTGCAAACAATAACAACCGTAC